TTATAGTGACATGGGTATGAAAAAGACAGATAAAGAAATCATAGTCAGTGGGTGATCGAGCTGCAGGGAACAGGAATAGACGGATAGGAATGTACAGGAATAGAGCTGTCACTGCAGAGCAGTTTTATGGGAGCACACAGAAGAAAAGACAATGAAAATCAAACGTGTTACTGAGTAATCCAACTGGCCTGGATTGACCCAGTATGGCGATCATTTACTCTATTTTGTTCCACCCATTATGACTTATGACACACATTCTATATTAATGCACTTGAATGTCATAAAAAATATACAGGCAGGAAAGAAGGAAACAGTCTGTGCTGTCATACAGGGTTCAGATTAGTTAATAGGAAAGACACTGCCACATGACCAATAATACCTTTTAATAATTGTCCAGTAGAATCTCTTTGTCTTTCTGTCTCACTGTTGATCTCATCAGGCTTCATTAACCAGTCAGAAGTCCAGGGGGAAGCAGCAGCAACTGTGTTGTGCTTCATATTCTAGCCTCGTCCAATACCTGACCATGCCTCCACTTGTCATTCTTCACTCAAATATCACATTTTTGTATCCAGACTATTGAACTGATCCTTCATGGTCTTAGCCAAGGCCTTTGTAAGTTCAGCCCAGAGTGACAAATTCTGAAGCAAGTAAGGCTGTGTGATATGGCAATATATATTGTGTGACGAGAGAAACACTTGTTTCATACTCTTCTATATGGTTTATGTTGTTTTGCGTGAAGAGTGAATGTGAATGCAGAACAGGGTAATTTTGACCAGCCAAGACAAAAAGGAACTCGTACCTAAAAGGTCCAGTCCAGACACAAACACCACTAACATCTAACACCATCTAAGCAAGAATCATGTCAAACAGTACAGAGAAAGTTCATATATATTATATGTTTGGTATTGATATTTTGACCATAATATTATTTTATGTATGTTTATACATGTTTAATTAAAGACAAAATGTTCCTATGCACAAAGCTAAATTGTCCTTGTATTTAGCTGTAACCACTAGTCTCCTACACATTACAGTAATATGGGCGATTACAGTAATAGCGCAGGTATTAAGAAAATAAGCTTTTGCCTTCAAACAAATTATATTTACTCTGTTATAATTTGGCTGTGGTTTCCAGTTAACAAAACTCTTTTTGTGGTCTTGAGAATAATAAATTATCATTGCAGTGTAAATTGTTGTCATACTTTTTTGACTAGTTTGAGGATTCACTCAATGACTGACTGTCCCTGCAAAATACCCAACACAGCACAAGTCACCTTTAACTTTCCACTGTGGCTTTTAAAGTGACATGACCTTGATAGATGTTCCATTTAAATGGTTTGTAAAACTTTAAGAACGGAGTCAGTCTTTTTGTGTTTAGAAAGAGATCGTCTTAATTGGGGAAAATCTTGCAAAATTTGATCATATATTTCATTCATCGGATATTCACACCTTTTTATAGTGTGCTTGAATTTTTTGGTCTCATTAGCTGCTGTGTGCAAGACCTTGACATCGCTGCTTGACTGAACATCCTCTCTGATTTTAGTCCTATATTTTGGCAGGCAGGTCGAGGGCAGTACTTCTGTATGTCAGCCATCATCATTGTGTTCTAGTACACTTTTCCATCTGTGAAGGTAAAGGCCCCAGTTTTCTCTCCTCCACATACACAGCAGGATAGCAATTAGTTTCCCTTTATACCTCACCAGGCAACGCCTAGCACAGTTTGGCTGACATTGAACCCTCATTTAGCTTTGTGTATGAGGGTGTGAGTGGGTACAGAGTCTCTGTGTGTGTGTGTGTGGTATGTATTGCTATGTATGTATGTATTGTTGTGTGTGTGTGTCTTCTGTTACATCACTTCCCAGTCTACCTGGCCTTATTTTCTAGCTTCAAGCTCTTAAGCCTGGCCTATCTCTCTGAGGGATCTCCCACTAGACTCTGATGTAAGGCTAAGCTTTGGCTGCCAGGAAGATAGTGTACAAATGGCTTTGTTCAGCAGAAAAGCTACTTTGACACTCACCCACTACTTTACTGCAGGCATCTGTGAACAAGTATAGTGAATGTTGATGGGCTCATTGAAGTGTACTGAAGTTGTGACCGCAGTTAATTTACAGGATGTTCTACGGTAATACTGGTATTTAGACTCAGGTATTTCAGGCTGAGCAGTAAGTATGCTGTTGGTTTTGCAACTTTCAAGCCACTGAAATTCTATTGAGACAGGTAGAGACTGTAGAAGAGCTCTCTCTATACTAATTGAAAAATAAAATCTAGCCAATGGAAAAAATGTACAGTATTTGATTCATATATGAATGAGAAAAGCTGCTACTCTTTATGTACGCATTTGTTTTGATGTCTGTGAGCATAAAACGCCTAGTGTAACTACAAAGTAAATAATCCTGATATGAGATCTACTCCATGATCTTTGTTCAGTCTACAACTTCAATTGTATAGCATAGACTTAGAAGAACTTCACTCAACATCTGCACAATAACAGCCCTGCAATGACTATTTCCTTCAGGACGTTTGTTCAATGGTTGGTGAAACTAAAATGTGTCAATTCAATTCTGCAATCATCTTTTGTGCCTCTGTTGATTTGGCTTTCCCTTGTAATGTTTCTGTACAGCTGGGAATTAACAATGCTACAATCATATTTCATTTATTTTATATATCGTACAATTGATATTTTTGTCCCCCTGAAACAATCGAGAATTAAACACAATAAACTCTGTAAACGTAGAGTGCCATATACTACAGTGTGAGTGTATTGGATTACAAGTCATGCAGTTCTGTTTTCTCTTCATATTGACCAAAAAATAAAAAATAAAATGAAATGAATAAAAGAATGAATGATTCTCCAGTACTATTTTAAATAAAAATAATTTTGTAGAGAATGAGTTGAGGTTACAGTAGTTTGGCCAGGACATAAGTACTTGTGGTCTGCTAGTCTCTGAGATTATTTGATTTGGAGTCAAATATCTTCCTTCAGTTGAACTAATAGTGTTTCCCTATGCTGCATTCCAATGTGAAACTTTCAAGCATTATTCCATGATGCTTACAAACAGAAATTAAGCCTAATATATTAGCTATTTTTTATAATTTCCCAATAATTGTTCAAAGTCAGAAGTAAAACCAAATAACACATAAAACATAGCTGAAACGATTCTACTGGATTTAGTTGTGCCAAGTGGGAAATATAGTAGCAGTCAAAAACAACTCAAGGCTGACATTAATGTTTTCACTAAGCTGATTCTCATTACTGTATTCTGTATGATATGACATAAATGTGTCATTATGTATCTTAAACTACTCTTCAAAGAGGTCTCCTCTTATGCTTCATAGGGGATCTGCAGTTGGTTGTTGTATTGCACCTGACCTGAGCTAATATTACTGTATATAGTTTTACTGCGCTATGAATATCTAAACAATGGGACTTCTCCTTCTGTTGTAACTGAATTGTGTTCGCTGAATTGTTCACACACTCCCTTCATTTGTTGTCTCCCTCAGTGGAGTCTGCTGAGAGAGCAGAGGAACAGAGGGAGTATGGAGGAGAGAGGAGGGCGCTCTGTCGGCATTGATCACAATAGAGACGAATTCAATAGAATAAAACTCAGTGGTTTTCTCTGCTCTCTTTTAGAAATGTCAAACACCCACGCAAGCCTCTCCTATACAGTCTCTTCCCCCC